AAGCCTCCATCGTGCTGGTGGATCCTCTGGCTGGTCATCCCCGACCTAAGGTCTTGCTGCTTCCACAAAGAGCTTTAATGGAAGAAAAAAAGAAGAAGGGTGCAAACATCCTGACCTGGCAGCTTGTGGAAGATGCTGGGTCCCATCTCTGCCTTCACCACCCGCCCAAGGCAGGACCTGCCACTGGTCACCGGGGCACTGCAGCAGCTTAATTTCAATTGTACTCCGATAGTGCTGATCACAGTGTGTCAGCCCTTGTTTTTATTACTTTTCCTCCCCTCTCTGCGTACTGTTGAGGCTTGTGGTGTTCTGGCAAACAAGCCTTGACTGTAATAATTTCTGGCCCCTTGTGGGAAGTTTTAACTCCAACGCAGTGAAATATAAACTGGCAGAAAATGGAGTGTTTCCTTCTGCTGTTGTGAGCTGCAGCAGGCAGGCTCAAATGGAGGTTTTCTGTTGGTTTTCCCTCCCCTGCTTTTGTTTTTTTCCGTCTCTCCACCAAAGGTCATGGTCACCCTCCTCCAGCCACTGAGAAGGAGACATGCTGGGATGATGACATGGCACATTAAATTTGTTCTCGGCAAAGTCACAACTCCAGGAGCCTTGGAAGGAGGCAGCAGTAGGAAATACAAATGTTGTTTGTCATGTGGTCAAAATGGTGCATCTTAAGTGCTGCTGTGTACTTGTGATGGTGTGGGTGGCAGCCCCATCACTGCTAGGTGAGCCTGTCTGCAGAGGTCCCTGGGAGTGGTGGGGAGAAGCAGGGAGGTCTGCAGGCAGCAGAGACTTCTTGAGTTGGATGGAGGATCAGCCTGAGTTGGGATTTGAAAGCACAGACCGTGGTCTACACCCTGGGAAAGAGGGTATTGTCTTCAGGACCCATATCAAGAGGGTCTGGTGGTCTGTGCCCAGAGCTGTTCAGTGGTTCTCTCACAGTCTGGGGTGGATGGGCTGTATCTCAGGAAGTTCAGGAACTTCTGCTGAAGAACAAAGCCCACCTTGCAAGGGACAGAGCTTTTTCAGGAGCTGCTCGGGGATGACGCTGTGAGCACCTGTGGGCAGTAGAGATTCCTGCTGGTCTCCCTGAGCTCTTCATGCCTGCTCAACACATCTTGGCCAGCATGAACACTAGCAGCATCCCTGTGAACACCAGCCCTTCCCAGCACCCAGGCGGTTTCTTGCATGGATCAGTCACAATGAGCCTGTACCTAGCCTTGTTTTCTGCTCTTCAGGAACAGAATGAGAGAGAGATGGATGTGATGGACGTGGGCAATGTGACTGGGAGGCACAATGACCTCAGACCTGTGGTGAGGGCCACATCTGGAGGGGATGTGGTGTGACCCCGAAGTTACAGTGGTCCTCCCAGGGCAAAACTGGGGCTGTTTAGCACACGGGCATCACTCTTGGGAAGCTACTTGAACCCAAGCATGGCACGTGTCGAGTCCCCATAGCCTTATGGCTGTTCCTCACCCAGGTTTGAGGCTGGTTAATCCCATCCATTGAGCACACCCAAATCTCTGCCATCGCTGTAGCATCACAGGATGTCAACTCAGCCTGTGTTCCATTCTTGTCCCAGCCTCAGAGTTTTATTCCAGCAAATTTTGTTGCTGATGCCACCCTCACCTTATCCACTAGCAGGTTAACACAGGTTGAATTTCCCATGCAAGCACTCCAGTCTGTCTCACTGTATTTATTTTGTTCAGGCTACTCTTCCCTGGGCTTGACAGTGTAATTTGTACAGATTTGTGCTGAGTTTTCCAAACCTTCAAGTGAGCTTTTTTGTTAGTGTGAAGCCAGGACAGTAGAGACATTAAACAACAGAAACATTGAGAAGTGAGCAGCACACTTACCATCCAGGAAGGCTTCCTAACCTCTAGAGGTGCTCCTTGGCAAAAACTCCATGGTTCAGAGATTTTAATTAGATCTAATCCTCCAGGTGACCAGCCAAGCACTGAAAGGCATACCAATTTTTCAGTTGCATCCTTTGCTGTAAGAGTTTTTGTTTTAGATAGATGTAACAAAAGAGCTTGGATATCCCAAACATAACATTTTCCTTGAGTGGCACTAAGAGGTCTCTAGTATGGGAGATAGTTCTCCCAGTGCAGTTATACTTAGAAAAGTCCCTGCCTGCAAGCTTGTTACTCTGGTCTCCTTTACCTGGAGTGACTTGCATGTGAAATTTGGTTGGGTTTTAGGATCAGAAGTTGTATTTTCTGATTGTCAGAGTTGCCAGCTGCTCCTTGGGGTCTGGAAATGCAGCTGGGGTTTCTTTGCCTCTCATTCACACTGGTTATGGAGCCCTGGCTTTGAAAACATGCCTGACAGCATGGCTGATGATGTGCCAGGCAAAGCCGAACCTCTGCACCGTGACTTCCCCTAGAAAAGCTCAAAGCAGAAACAAGCACAGCCCAACCGTACACAGACAAAGACAGAGACCAAAGCTGTCATTCCTGGAAAAAACCTCTTCTTCCCCTCCTGCCTGGTTTGCAGCAGAGCTTGTCACAGCAGGAAGGCAATGTTTGTGCATCTCCTGTAGCAGCTGGGTGGTTTTGGAGATGCGCAGGGCTCTGATCACAGCCTGTGGCTCTGCTCACGGTGTCTAACCTCTGCAGGAGAAGGATTCGTGCTGTTGTGGTGACCACGGCTGTGCTCAGCCATCCCAGCTCGAGCACTAGCTGTGCCTAACTCACTGCCAAGGGCATCTTCAGCAACTCGGGGACATGTATTGCTTCTCACTGCTGTATTTCCTTGCTGCTTTCTGGGTGTTGCCTCTCTGGACTCCCAAAGGAGTCTAACCACAAGCCCAGCATATGTCTGGCTTATATATTAATCTGGATCGAAAGGAGGTGCAGGATTTGGTAATTTCTGTGGGGCAGATGTTCCTTATCTCTGGCTCTTTGAAGGTGAGGGTCACACTTAGCACCTTTCTGCCTGCTGAGGTATGTTTGACAGATCTTCGGCCAACCCTGGGTGCTCTCAGAGCTGTTTGTCCTCATCCCACCGTTGTACTCTTCCTGTTTTTGCCCTGGGAGAAGTTGCTGGGGCTGGACAGGGTGCTGTGATGCTGCAGGGCTGCAGCACCGTCCCTGGGCTGGAGGGGCCGTGGCTGTCCATGTGACTGCAGGTATGGCTGGAGGTGAGAGCAGTGGTTATCATCTGGGGAACAACTGCCTTGGGTCCAGGGGTTGCAAGGGGCAGCTGCAGGTTTTGGCACTCATGCTCTTTGCTTGTGTCGACTCCTGACTCTCCAGGCCATCAGAGACGCCATTGCTGCTCTGCATGAAGAGGGGGTTGGCCACCTGGGTCACCTCCCACCATGCTGAGGTGGAAAATAACATCCTGTTGCTGCAGGAGAAAACTCTGCTGCACCTGTTGACATGGTGAGGGTGAGGGATAAACACATCTTGGTATGTGCATCAGGTCCCACCTGGACCCAGGCACCACCAGAAGCTGGTTTGCTCCCAGGGATGCCAGGGCTGCCACGGCACCTGCATGTGGGGGTCTGAGGGCATACCTGTGGACTGTGCTGTGAAAATCTCTTCTGCAGGAGGATCCTGAAGCTCCTGAGTTTGTTCTTTCTCCTTCCTGCCCTGTCCGGGCAGGTCATGGATGTCTCGCCCCTCAGCAGGGCGCCTGCACTGGGGCTCTGTTGGGTGCCTGCCACAGCAAGTAGGTGAGGAAGGAGAAATCAAAGGTGGCTTTCAACAGAACCCCTTCTTCTGCCTTGAGGTCAGCTTGGTAATTGCAGTTGGGAACCCACACGCTAGATCTACCGCCTCTGAGCCGTGGGTGTCTCCTAATGGTGTGAGAAGCAAAGCCTGGATGGAGAAGGGAGGGGTGGGTTGAGCTTAGTGTTCTGCAGTATTTCTGGGAGCCATGGGTTTAATTCAAAGCTGCTCCCTGCCCAAGTCCATTTGTCTTCTGTTTTTGGTTTTTTATGACCCTGTCTGCCTCTGTCTCTCTTATTTCTTGGATGATGCTTGGCACTGGCTGCTCCAGCCGTTTTCTGGTAGTGGTAAGAGCTGTGGGTGTTTTGCTATAGCAGGGATGCATGACCTTTGTCTGGCTGCAGTGCAATTGCTGCTTCAAACTCGAGCAAAGGCTGAAGTGCTGGAGCTGTTCCTCAGAATGTGAGAGACCTGGGATCAGGGATGTAGACAGCCGGTATGTTGTGCTCCAACAGTGAAAGTGCTGCCAAAGAGGGAGCCTGTAGCATCTAACCTCTCCAACACCTTCAAAGATGCACTAGAAGTGAGTTTTCAAAGCGTCTGTGTGGCCGAGGCGTCCCTACCCGGGCAGCCAGTACCCCAGGGGCAGTGTGGACAGTGGGTCAGGCTTGTCTGCATCTGCCTGGGGCACCTGTTCACATCCAGACCTGAAATTTTTGCCTGGTTCTTGCAGACAGAATAATGCATTTAGCCATTTATAGTGCTTGGAGAGAAGTAGGAGACGTGTGGGTGGTTAGACTGGGTGTAATTTGTGATTCAGAAACACCAGGGACAAGCAGGACCTACCTCCAGGTGAGCTGGAGGCCAGTGGTGCTGCAGCACAGGAGTGTTTAAATAAATCAGCATGTTAACAGCAAGTGAGGAGCAGGTGAGAGAGGGAACGTGAGAGCTGAAATAAAAGGCTATTAAGGAACAGATGTGATGCAAAGCAAGATGATTAAAACTGTGAGGGAAGTACAGGGCAGGGCTTCTTGCTAGGGGAAGACGGGTGGGACGTGGGCATGTGGTGGGTGGTGTGGAGGGCCCAGCGTGCCCTTCCCCAGCCCTGTTGCCATCACTTCAGGGTGCATCGGTCGTGTGCTGTGTTTGAGGTGCTCTGCAGGGCTTTGCACCTTCCCATAACCGCGAACTGCGGTCAGTGGGAGCTGGGGGGTTTGCTCTGCGGTCAGGCTGGATTGACCTCGTCCATGTCCGCTGTGGGGTGCTGCCCCTGACAGACCCGCAGTCCTTCCCACGCTGTTGGTGACCTGCCTTTTGCTTTTGTCCCTGCAGCAACCCCAAGGTCCAGATAGAAGCAATCGAGGGGGGCGCGCTGCAGAAGCTCCTCGTTATTCTGGCTACAGAACAACCTCTGTCTGTCAAGAAGAAGGTGAGTGAGTGGAGGTGCATCTCTGGATAAAGCTGTTTTATTTTGCTGAACTCCCTATAAGTGCTCCCTGGGACATCACTGACATTGTGACAGTGTGGGATCCTGTGCTGCTCCCCACGCTGGGTGGGCTTTGCTCCCCAGGGGTGCAGGGGAGTGACCCTGGGTGCTGGACCTCCCTCAGCAGCCCTGGCTGGCTGGTGCCCACCAGCCTCCAGCACTGTGGGTCTCGTCCCCCTTGCCAGCAGCAGCCTGCACGGCAGCTCTGCCAGCCCTGCAGGGACAGGGCTCAGAGCTATGGCTCCTCCGGGAGGAGAGGTGACAGTCCCCGTGGCAGGCGTAACAATCAGAGGCTAACAACCACAAGAGATGACGTTTGGGAAGAGCTAATTGCTGGAGCCAGCCCTGTGTCCTGCCTTTGGAGCAAGCCGAGCAGCACCGAGAGCCCCCAGCCAAATGTGCAGTGCTGTCTGTCGGGGTGGGGGCTTCCTCAATGCCTCCCTTCCTCCCTCCTCTCCGTAATCCCTGGAGCATGAGATCTCATTACCCTCGCTTTAGTGTGTGATGCTGCCTCTGTTTATAGGCCGTAAAATTATCTGGCTGCTCCCAAAAACCCAGCCCTACCGTTTAACGCAGTGACCTCCTGTGAGAGGGGATTTGGCGGAGCAAGGAACCACCAGCTCTTTTGTTCATCCTTAATGCACCCGCTGGTGTGCAAACAGCAGCGTGTTGCCAGTGTTTTAACAAGCTCCCACAAACACGTTCCTCTTTAGTCCATGGTAGGAGTCTTCCTGTGAGTGAAGGGCACAGGGGAATCCCTTTGGTTTTGGCCACGGGTGTGAGGAGGTCCTGGCTGGAGTAATGCACCACGGGACATTCTGTGCTCAGAAACTCCTCCCAGGAGTGCCTGTGGCTCGATCTGGAGTTTGTTTTGGGGTGGGGAGGGAGGGCTGGGCATGCAAAGGCCCTCGCCAGCATCGCTTGAACCCCTGGGTGGTGGGTGCAGGACAGTTCTTTCCAGTAAGCTTGAACACGTCTCGCTGGCAGCCCCTGGAATGAGTGAGAGGGATGAGCTCAGTATTGTCCATTTTCATGTGTGGCCATATGAGAGCCTCCAAGGGTTGAACCCCTTTTCCAGGAGGACAGAGACTTTTAATTTCCAGTTCCTATGCCACATATAGTCTCCTGTCTCTCTCTAGGCCAGGATTCCAAGGAGAGGTCGGTGGCCCAGTCCCTTCCCACACAGGGGAGCAGCCCCACGGCTCTCGCTGCAGTGGGTTTTCCACCCCAGCACTCACAGTGGTGTGCAGCAGCGAGGCCAAAAGTGCATTTCTTCCTGCCCCCATCCTTTGGCCTATGGTTGAAAAAGGAGATGGAAACATCCTCCAATTCAGCAGTGGCAACTCGTAAGATGGAGAATAGAAACAAGGGGGACTGGAGAAGATGTGGCTGTCAGCTCAGATCTGTCCGCAGAGAGCGGGGATGCCCCTTGGTGTGTGAGGGGCCGGCTCTGCCAGGCACCTGGTTGAGTGTCCCCGTCCCCGCTGCCCTGCCCCGGGTAGTGTCAGCCTGGCCCTTCTGCAAACCCACCTCTCAAAACCAGACACACGGTGTAAGATTCAGCTGTTTGGCCCCTCGTTGCCTCCTGGCTGTTAAGCCTGTGCTACTCAAGGCCCAGGAGTCAAGGCTGGGTGTGCCGGTGTGTCTCACTGGTGATGTGTGATGCTGCACATGACAGACCCTGGTTTGGGCTGTGTGCTGGGAAGCATTATGGTCTTGTCCTTCGGCTGTGTGGGTGCAAGGGAGAGGGCATTCCCCAGGCGTTCAGATCACGTGGAGAATAAATCCTGTGAGCAGCGACTGAAGGAGCTGGGACTGTTTAGTGTGAGGAGAAGGCTGAGGGGAGACCTCATCACTCTGTACAGCTCCCTGAAAGGGCATTGCAGAGAGGTTGGTGCTGGTCTCTTCTCACAGGATTGATTAGTGACAGAACAAGAGGGAACAGCTTTAAACTCCAACAGAGGAGGTTCAGACTGGACATTAGGAAAAAATTTTTCACAGAAAGAGTGGTGAGAGAGTGGAATAGGCTGCCCAGGGAGGGGGTGGAGTCCCCATCCCTGGGTGTGTTTAAGGGTTGTTTGGATGAGGTGTTGGGGGATGTGGGGTAGGGGAGAACTTTGTAGAGTCAGGCTGAGGGTTGGACTCGATGATCCCAAGGGGCTTTTCCAACCTGAATGATTCTGTGATCTCATCCTATGCTGAGCGGTGCTGGACCCCCTTTGCCCTATCCTTATCCCCTAGCTGGGCTCTGTACCAAGGGCTGGTGGGGGCAAACTGTGAGAAGTGAAGGCGTTGGGTCTGTTCAGGTGCTGGCCACGGGTCCCTCTGTGTTAGCAAACACGGTGACAGTCTGGGTTGGAGTTTGGGTGAAAGTCACCCAATTTTGGGCAGCCTCACAGCACCAGGGTGGGCTGGGATCAGGAGAAAAGCGGATTCTTGGAGATGCATTCAAACCTCTCCTTGTTGAGAGGCATCTGCTGGGGAGCTCCACACCAATGAGTTGGAGGGTGTTTCTCCTGTCCCCATGGGATGCCATGAAGAGGCTGCGCCAAATGTGGCGGCTGTGGCCGCTGTGCCAATGGACCTCTCTCCTCGACAGGCTCTCTTCGCACTGTCCTCCATGCTGAGACACTTCCCCTACGCCCAGCAGCAGTTCCTCAAGCTGGGCGGCCTCCAGGTCCTCAGGAGCCTCTTCAGGCAAAAGGGGATGGACACCCTGCATGTCCGTGTGGTGACACTCCTCTACGACCTCATTGTGGAGAAGGTGAGGAGCTGGGAGGGAGGGGACTGGACCCGGCCAGGCACTCCTCACCTTCACCCCTCAATGAGCCGATGGGGCTCTCAAGCATCCAAGCAGGACGAGGGTGAGGAGGGGTCGACCCCGCATTGGTGCTGGTCTGTGCTCTTGAGGTGAGTCCTCTCCAGCCCACGGAACACTGCAGCGGTGGACAAATGCCTGGGAGAGCCCAGAGCCAGCTTAAATTTTTATTTTTCATTAAACCACCATCACTGTTTCCACCTAAGGGTGTTTAAATTACAAAATGACAAGGACCTGAGTGGGGAAAATAGGCACTGGACTGCAGTGAGCTTGGCTGCAGCATCCAGCCGCCGGCTGCCAGCCAAGTGCCCGGGGACCAGCCGCTGCTGCGTGGCCCTGCCTGCTGGAGAGGCCTTGCCTGCCTGCACGTCCCTTGCTGGAGCCAAGCCTGCAACGTTAAGTGTTTTATTTTCAAATACCTTGGATTACTGCTGTAAATGTCAGTTTAAAACCCATCTTTCCTTGCCATTGCTTGTTGTTTAGTCTGTGTGTTTCTCTTACTCTAGAGAATGGAAATTAAATCCACTTTCACTCAGTTTATAGCCAATTTGCCCTGCAGATTATTACTGCTGTAATACTTGGGTTTCAGGCACCGCAGAGCAATGTCTGTGTTTTAAAACAGTTGTTTTCCAGGAGACTTCGTAAAGGTGCAAATTATTTTAGTGGGTCTGAAATCTTATCGCGTGCTGGCTCTAATGCACAGTGATCCTGTCTGTCTGCTTGCATGGAGAGGGAGCGTGCGTGGGCATTTTACCTGACCCATCCCCGTGTGCTCCTGCTGCACATTTCCCAGCCGCCCCTCCGGCAGCCCTCTCTGTTTCCAGCTCCACTGTGGCTGGGGCAGTCCGCAGGCCTGGCGGATTCTCAGCTTTATGTTAAATCAATGACTTTTCGCTGCCCTTCGGGCTGGGAATGCTGTGTATCAATCCCAGCCCCGTCATGGAGGATGGGAGAGCCCTCAGTGCCCGGTGGGGAGCAGGGCTGGTGGGAGCCGAGGCGGCAGGTCTGGGGTGGTCTGGATGACGCAGTCAGGTAGGTTGGTTTGAAAATCATAAACTACCATCCGCAGCTCTCTGTGCTGAAGCACAAATTTCCGGGGCTCTGAACAGCTTTTTCTGCTGCTTTCCTTCCTTTTTACCCCAAATCCTTCACGGCCAGTGGGGTTTTAGCCCTCTCAGGGGACCAGGAGAGGAGAGGTCCCCTTGGCGTTGTCCCTCCTTGTCCCCACTGTGTCCTGTAAATCAGTACAACCAAGCCCCCAGCAGCAGCCCCCCGGGACAGCAGGAGGCCGTTGCCAAGCTGGTGAACAGGTCAGGGAAGATGTTACAGGTGCCCTCGGGGACCCAAGCAGCCCCGGGGATGAGGTGGTCTGGTTGCTTCTTGCAGCAGCTCCTGGGCACGCGGGCTGCCCTCCCCCTTCCCCAGGGCTGGATTTCTGCTCGGCAGCCCCTAGGAAGCCCTCAGCTCCCTTCAGCAGGCCGAGGCGAGCATCCCTGTGTTACACAGAACTCATTAGTGAAGCACAGACATAGTAATTAGCACAGGGGGCTGCCAGCCAAGCCGGGAGGATCCACTGGGGGAATGGAACCAGTTTGTGGAATTTCACGCTATCGACAGCCCCTCCACCACAGGCTGTCGGGGTGGTGGTGGGAGGTTTCCCTTCCTCCCCCTGGCCCTGGCGCCGCTCAGGGCAGGTCTCTCTCTCGCTGGGAAGGGAGCTGTCAGCCCTGCCTGCCCCGGGACCCACGAGCACCTTTCTGCTCTTGGCACTGTCCCTGCAGAATTTCAGTACTGGGGGTTTTCTGGACCAGGCTGGGAGGGGAAGGTCTCGCTGTGGCTGGAGGAGACTCAGATCTCCGTCCTGTTTGTAAGAGCAACACGAAGCCAAGCAGCGATGTTGTTAGGTGCTGAAGGGGCCTGTCCAGCAGCCCAAAGCAGCAGACCCAGAGACTTTACAGGTCTTCTGCTGAACTTCCTTCCCCTTGAGGCCCCTTTCAGGGCCATGTAATCCTTAAAGCCCTGGCCACTGAGAGTTTTCCAGGATGGGCAACCAGCCCCTGTGGCCCACTTGATGCCCAGGGAAGAGGGAACCAGGACACAACCTCATCTTGGTCTTCTGTTGCAAGCCGCCTTCCAAGGCAGGTGTTACGGGTGTGCATCCTCCTCTCCCGCCAGGAGCAGTTGCTCTCTGATAGGGATATTAATCCATGTTCCACCACTTCCCACAGATGCTGCTTGAGGACTCACAGCATGGAGATCAAATGGCAGAGAAAATCCAGCAGTACCGGCAAGTCAAGCTGGTGCCAGCGGTGGTGGAGCAGGACTGGTGCGTGGTCGTTTCCAACCTGCTGGCCATGCCAGAGCACGACACTCGGGAGAAGGTCCTCAAGATGGTCGGGGTGCTGATGGCCTTCTGCAAGGAGCGCTACCGGGGGGACCAGGCCCTTGGCACCACCCTCAGCCTCCTGCGCAGCGAGTACGAGGAGCTGGCAGCGGAGGAGCAGAGGGAGGGTGACAAGGATGGCTATTTCAAGGAACTCCTTGGTTCTGTAAATACCATCATTCAGGAATTAAGATGAAAATAGCTGTAGATTCAGTTCAATTCCAGATAATTGAGGGCAACAGCATGAGTTTTGATGTCACAGTTGTAAATGAACTTTTGAGTAAACTGCTGGACTGAATGAGATCCCACCACTGGGTGAGTGTGCCAACAGCTTCGTTATTAAACCATACGCATTTGGGGTCACGTATTCTTTTTCATGGGGTACTGCTGGAAAAACAGAGGTGTATACATTAAGGGGGGTGAGGTGGAGTCCCAGCTTACACTGCCTCCAACCATGGTACTTTATGAGTGTCTGCAGGATTATTTGGGGTGGGAAGGACTGAGGGATGTGGGACTGACCTTGTTATGCAGCTCTGCCGCACAAAGGGAAGCGTTTGTTCCCGTGGCTCCGATCTGCCTTTGTTCTTGCCTGGCGATGACCCACTGTGTCTGTGATCTTTTATTTGCTTCTGTATAATGTGTCTCGGCACTCAGGCAGCACCGCTGGCCTTTGGATTGTTTTGTGCTTGTACGGGAGGACTGAGTGTCGTTTCCTTGTAAGGCTGGAGGGGCTCTCTGGAGCTCTCTAACCCAGCCTTGGCTTGGGGCAGGGTAGCCCTGGGTTGTGGGACCGTGACCATCCCCCAGCCCCACCAGACCTCTCGGTAGGTTCTGTGGCTCCACTGCGGCAGCTCCCGCAGCCCCTCTCTGCTCAGGGACCCGCCGTGGCCAGTGCACTGGGCTCAGAACACTCGGTGTGGCATGGCTGTGGCACTGCCCCGCCAGCGCAGGGCTAACCAGCCGGGGAGCCACGCTTTGCCCTGCAGCAAACCACTGAGGCTTTCTGCTTGCGTCGTTCTTGCATTTGGAGTTGACTTCCAAGATAGTCTCTTGGCCACGGATTTCCACCCATGCTGTACAGCACTCTCTCTTTGCCAGGCTGGGCTGGCATCTCCCTTCACACTCCTCTTCCAGTTGCAGCTTCTCTGCTCTTTCCTCAAGGCTCAGGTGCCCTTCCCCCATGAACCCCCTCTGATGTCTCCTCACGCTGCGTGGTCCATGGGGGAGGATGTTCTGCCTTCTCCTCCGTGGGCTGATTCTCTCACTCTACATTGTCCTTCCTCAGGCAAGGAAAAACCCAAAGTCTTGCTCAAGCCTCTGTCTGCCCAGCTGCTGGCCTGGAGATGGCTGCTGCCTCCCCCGCCATCAGCAGAGTTTATGAAACCTAAATTTATTGTTTTGTCAGTTTAATTCCAGTCCTAACCCCCTCCTGGCTCTGAACCCTTTTAGGGAGAGCTTGGGTATTTTTTAGTGAGGCGAGATCAGTTCCGTTTCTGCGAGTGCCCCTGTGTAAGCCTGCGTGGTGGGAGGCTCGGTGAGCCCCACGGTGCTGCCCTGGGCCTGGGCCACCCCAGGGCAAGGGTGGGCTCGCCCGCCTCGGGGCCTGGGCAGCTCCCAGCAGCTTTCCTGCTGACCCCTCTTCGAGGGCAGCTTCTGGGGGGCAGCAGCTTCGTCCCCGCAGGCTTTGCCCAGCAGCGCAATGAGGGGCGAAGGCAGAGGGAGCGCCCGGGTGCCGAGCCTCGGGCACGGAGCGAGGCGAGGGCTTTGGCCAGGCCGCAGCGCGCAGGCTCCCCACGCCGAGAGCGGGCCCTTATTTACGATTCCTGCGCTCGCTCTCAGAATTGCTTTGTGGCAATAACAGGTATTTCAATCACCACTACTCCTGCCGCCGGCTTAATGGGACCCAGGGGCTGCAGCACCACCGTTACCAACACAAGTGCAGAAAAATAAATCAAGGAAAACAGCCCGGCTGGTCCCCCACCATCCTCCCGCCGTGAGCCGGGGCC